CAATGCAGACGAATTTTTCCTCAAACTCCACACCCCAGTCAAAAACTATTCGCATTAACGCAAGTCGAAAAGCGCCCAGTTCAGAGCCGAGCAATCCCAAGTAGACGATAGCAATAAGTAATTTACATTCTGGAGTAGTTTTGCTGCAGAGTCGACTATGTTGGAGGTGCCTCAGGTGCTACCAACTGTTACCACGGAAAGAGACTACTGACCGTCCACTTGGTATTATTCACGCTTAGCAAAAGTGAAGGAGGATGTGGAAAGGGAGAAGTCAAAGTTGTCCATCAGATATTTCAAATCTGTAGAAACCCAACGAAAGTGGTTGGCACGTGATTAGGGCCTCCGGGGAGAATTCAACATGCTACAGTCAAGGTGTTGAGTTTATTTATTTGCAATCATTTGATTACGATTTTGCAGAACTCATGTTATAGCGCTTGGCGAAACCACCTAGGTAAGGTAGTTATTTGAAGTAAGACGTAAAGTGTAAGGGCTCTTTCAACTACTTTTGTATTCATAAATATGCGTTTTCGTGTATTTGAAACGACACTTTCCTCAATCTTGTTATTGATTTAATGTAATTTTATAAATGCCAGATAATCGGCGTGGCTGGGTTTCCGCTTACGTTTCTTTGCGTATCATATATCTTTGTTAGAAAATGCCCCGAAAAATGCACCCTTTTAATCAATATTTACCTCTAGCGAACGATATTCTGAAGCACAAAACTTCTATAAAGAGTCTTTAACTTCTAGCCACCATCCATACCGATTGTCTACACCCCCACAAACGACCGCTCGGCGGATGATTTATCTACCATGGCCACTTCCTGTGGTCCCAACGCCAGCACCCTTCCCCGGCCTCACAAGGGCCGATCCCTATCTAGGGGCCGAGTACAAGTTGTCGACCGACGGAAACAGCGAACGCGGCCTACCTCGAGCCTGCTGCTGTTGTCGAGTGAGACGGAGGGACCGAAGGGGGGATTTACGATTGAGTAAGCCTCCAGCTTTTAACCAAGTCGATTTTCTGACTTACTCAGACCTTAGGTCCTGTCTGAATAATAAGTATTGCCGAGGGCAAACATTTATTCCTCAAGCCACACGTTTCTGCCCCCGATACATAATTTGAAGGAAAATGTTTTGAGTAAACACTTGACCTTCTTAGCCGCTTAACCATTAATTATTAATATTATTATTCGTTAACAAAACAACAATATCACTGCACTTTTACTCTATCATTATGAACGTTATCTGTTCTCAGGGTGTCAATGTTATGTACTACGTCAACTCAACGGTTTTCCTGGTTCTTTCGTCTCTTTCCCCATTAGCCTTTAAGTAAAGGCTATGCGCTTTTCGTTACTCATCAAAAAATCTCATCTGAAAAATTTCTGTATTTGTCTTGTTCTTTTTCTTCATTTAGATGCTAGTTGTTTCGGGTTATTGCGGGTTTTAGTACTCTTTCATTCCTTTCCCTGCTGTCCATGGTATGGTTTGGAACATGGAGACCAAATTCTTTACACACGTTGTCAAAAATTCGACATCCTTTTACCTCCCTTCTTGTAGTTTAGGCTGCATTAAGTAACTAGGTCCAAAAGACAATGGTTTTTTTTAACACGCAACGTGCATTTAACGCTAAATTCATCTCTTTTTGTTAATTATGGTTAACCAGTTCATGTTTTAATTTCGAACCCTCTACCCACAAAGTTCTTTCTCGGCTCTAATAGTGTGAAGGCAGGTGAATAAATTCGTCGAAATTATTCCTCCCACTACAAGTAACTTAGCCTTGCCATCCAGAGTTTTCCATCGAATCATCCCGCAGTATGACCATAGGGTTGTTTCGGCTAACGAGCTTGTGTGCCACATGGTGAGTGGGCTCCTACGTCCTTGGAGGCTGGCGATTCACACCGAGCTGGTTCGCGCGTGGACGTGAGTAGCTCGAAAGCACGTGGACAAGTAATCGTCCTGACAACGGAACGCAATGTGTGCCTTTTGTGGGTGGGCTTAGGCACAAAGTGTGTACCATGCATGACTGGTAAAGTTGTTACCGCCGTCAGAGGCCGGCAGTACAGATCGGACTGAGACCGAAACCGTCGCCAAAGCATAAGTGGGTTTAGAGTGACTCTTTCCATCGCTCAAGTTCACAGTATCTCCGCTAATTGAGACCTAATTCCAAACCAAACCAATATCTGGGGCCAGTTCTAGCCAATTACGTAACTGAGAACGAACGACTTATCAAACCATGCATGAACTTATCGGTTTCAGCTATCGTTTTCTTTTTAAACGAGTTAAGTCATATTTACCTGATTAAATTTTAATACAGATTTATTGCTCACCTGAGTCTTATCTGGTTCTCCGCATGCTACAGTTTTGACCGTGTTTTATTGCGAACCTAAAAAATAGTACTCTTTCAAAACCCCGTGGATGTGGTCACGAGTAAGCAAAAATGTTTTACTTAAATGCAAACTTAGGACAAATGCAAATACTTCACTGGGCCAACGGTATTTGGGAAGAAAAATTAAGCGCATGATAGCATGAGCAGCCTTCTGAATAATTAACATAGTTAAGGTTCCCAACTTTATTGAGCCACGTGAATCCGCATTTCTAACCAATTTGTGAACGAAACACAGAGGCTTTAACTTCTAATTTAACGCGAAACAAAAATCTGTCTTTTGTATTGGTCTCTTGCTATAAATATTGTAAAGTCACAAAATGTTTCTCGTGTGTTTCAGTTGATTGCTCTGGAGATTGAAAAACATGTGGCTGCTAGTCTAAATACATGCTAGGTAGTTCGACGGGAAGCATAATCAGAAAAGGCAATTTTTGGCTTAAAGTGTCGTCGATGTCAATTCCATCAAGGTCAATGTTAGTTCAATGCATTTAAAACTCTGTATTTTGTTCAATGCATAACAAAGTCAGTTATGAGTCTTGCATCGCGAAATGACGGCAGTTTACGTTTAACAGAACCTGGAGGCTTGCTACCCAGCTAGCACTGAAGCCCCCAGTAATTCAAACGTTTCTTGAAATTATGCGTCGGAATTCAAAGGTGTGCGGAGAGTAGGAGAATCAGTTTCAGTAGAATTTTGGCCACCTTCCTCATCGGATGTAAATAATTCACTTTACCTGTTCGACAGCACCTCGATTGCAGGTTGTAATTAAGGACGTGATGATTAACCGCACGAAGGGTTTTCTAATTTATGCAAATGGTCTATTTAAAGGCTATATTGAGGCCGCTATCGACGCCGAAGGCGGTTTGATTGACAATTCCTTTTATCTTTATACTCGGCGTGAGCTACGAATGTTATCAATTCTACTGCCACTAATTGTTTTAGCTTTAGACAGACTGACCCAGATGCTTGAATTAAATTTTTCAAAACGTTAGATTCAGCATTACTGTGTCACTTTAGAGTGATGTCCAGGACTTCAATTAGTTCCAATTTACAATCACCCTCTTTATAGAATGCTCTTGAGTAGATTCTAGGCTTTGACCGATTTGCATGACTCGCCACTTAACTGTTTTGGTGTGATGCAGATGATCAAGCACACGAGATATGTTAACTAAAAGACGTCTCACTAATTTTAATTTGGTTTTATAATTGCAGTCCATTAGGCACAATAATATAATTTAAGCTTAAGTGGTTTCAGGTAATAAACTGACGATATGCAAATGATCCGGTTAGGTGATGGGACTCCTATTCACTAAATACCCGTCTTCTAGAATTCAATGGTGCGCTTTTCACTGTTATCAACAAAACACAATTTTTTTTCAAAAACGTCTACAGTTACACGAATATTACCATGGCACGTTGTATCTACATGTATGGTAATAATGACCTTGAAATTTCTTATTTTTTCCCCATGTTTAATGCAAAATCATGCCCCTCTTTGATTTCTGCTTCACATTGTGTCTCTCTTCTTCTGCATTCATTTTTGAGTTTGGCTTTTATTGGCCAAACCACCACTGCGAGTGATTAGTAAAACTGTTTCATATATGCGCTATTTATCTGCTGAACAAGTGCTCTTCCACTCGGAGAAGACCCGGTGTAAGTGGCATAACTAAGGTGCACAGCTCTGTAGACCCTCTTTGGGTCACTTTGGCACAATAGCCAGAGCCCAACCACACGGCAGCAACCCATCACGCCACCATCATTCATTTGTGCCATGAAAGTATCGGAAGTAGGATTTATCAATGTAGGAAATTCTTAAGCTCGTGTGATTTATTGTTGCGTGCTTCACACGACGCGTCGTGACACCGCGAGGTTTGTGCCGATAGTAGTTGCTGGCCTATTGAATCTGACACACAAAAGGAAATTAGGATCAAGGACGAAAGTAGGTGCAGAGTCAGAAGAAAGTGATTATGGGCAAAAAATATGATATGGATTTAAAACTATCAATGCGCTCTCCGAGAATATTTTTAACAAAAAAATGGGTGAAGAAATCAAGGTGTTGCATCAACGTGTCGAAGGGGCCAGGATAGGTACCCTAAATTTGTATTGCTTTGTACATTTATACTCAACTACAGGCTCACGAGCTCTCTTGTATATTCCTTGATGGAACATGGTTCTGAGCAGGCATTGACCTAAAACTCATTTCTCTAAGAAAAAGATCTTTGAGTCCGGTTTGACGCAGTAGAGAAAGAGTTATGAAAATAAATATAATTTTTTTAATACTAGTTAAACGGAAGTTAGGGCAACATTATGTGTCCACTTGGCCTATTTATTCAGTGAGGTTTAGTTTTTAATTTTATTTCTTACAATGCCTTATGTAGGAACATCAGTAAATTCGCTCATTCACACTTTGAGCCTTTCTGTCACACGAGCACGGTGTGGACCATCTTTTAGACATCGGCGAGGGTCGTCCATAATTATTCCTCTGAGCTTTCGCTAAAGCTCTGCTTTCACTTCCCCGTCTGTAAGAAACAAACCTCTGTTTAACATTGGCCACGTGCAAGCCGATCTGCGCTCACCCTCATGCATAATTACCGATTACACGCCACTTCCATCCACCACTCACGAAACACGAGGTGTAGCGTTCACACGCGCACATTCGCCCGTACTGATGGAGTCGCTTCTTGGACTCTCCGCGGACAGCCTTGTGACGAGTATCTTGCGTGATTACTTCAGGGTGCCTTCAGGCTCACAGCCTCTCCTCACAGAACTCCCGGCATCCCCTGAGGTAACGTTCCGACATCGTTGGCCCCAAAGGAAAGGATCCCTCGAGTCTTCGTCATTGAGGAATGAAGGAGAAAAGAATGAAAACAACCAATTGTTACCTCCCATAAGCCTCATCGAGACAGAATTACCGTCGGTTGAAGAGGCTGAAAAGCTCCATCCACTACTTATGGAACTCGATGCAACTCCTTTTCTCGATATGGATCAATCACACACTGTAAGAACCGCTTTTACTGTATTCTCTTTGTGTGTTCACCTAGAGAAAAACATTATAGATACCCCCATTAGGAAAACTATAATGAAGGAGGTTCGTATGTTTTCCAAGGTTGCCAATTACAAAACTCCAAATATTGCATCCAATCTGTGAAACTGACAGCTCACAAAAAGCAGTTTGAATAAATGGCATTGAAGGAGGAATGTTCTGCACCTTAAAGACAAATGCAAGTCACGTGTACAAAATTTGGGCTAAAAACTGATAATCGAAAGAGAATTTCGAAACCAAAAAATCGATTGCTAAAATGGAAGCCAAAATCGACAGTAATGCTTAAAACCTCTTTTAGAATTCATTCAAGCACATTTTCACCTAGATGGCTCTTGCGAACAAGTCGAATTTTCCGATCCATTAACATGAAATATGTACAAACGCCTATTGTCTTCTGTTTCCTTCATGAATGTGAATAGTAAACAACCTAGTCGACAAAGGCTACTAGTGCAGATACTAATAATGTCTGCACTTCTACAAACACTTGACAAACATTACGCCTCCACTTAATTCCGTGGTTCAGTGCATCAAGGAACAACTAAATCCCTTGTTCATCACCTGTTGCAAAATGTTCTTGAGCATACCCTGAAGTGAAAGAACACAACAGCTTCCACCGCGTAAATAATCATTCAAAAAAACCAGGAAAATTATTTAGGCCAGACTTGATAGCCAGAATAAGCGCAATCAATCATGGGCTATTGAACTACTATGAATTGAAGTTTCAGTTTGTGTCGTGAACACGCTTTGGCCCACATTTCTCCATAACTTGACCTCGATTGTTCTGTATCATGGGAACCTCGTTACACGCGTATCTCTCGAGCTGCTGTCACAGCCCTTGAATGTAGATGACGTCGAGGTGTCGATTGAGTCATTGCAGCACCCTACTGCCGCCTTCTACTTTCTGCCTCAGTGATTACATCACATTACACATCACTGCGCTTAAGACCAGATACCAATCTACCGAGCCGACATTTTGTGTTTCATTCATTCCGAACATGACATTGTGCACCATTTGTGAACGACTTTCAAC